CTTCTTGTGACAAGAAAGACATTCTGCCCTAGAACTGTACTCCACAGGTTGCTTTTCAAAAGGACCAATGAGGGGCTTCCTTTCAATAGACCCACCTGTTTGCAATGATTACCTCAATAGAGGTATAAATAGCTCTCACAAATGTAAAATAAAGATACGCAAAATCACCTCTCAAGAACACAAAATAGTCATTTCTTCTTCCCCCTCTCTCAAAGAACTCATTTGATCGTCAGAGAGGATATGCCGAAAATATTTCGGCGCCCTTCTAACCTTTCTTTTGAGTGCCAGGATATGTTGAAAAACACTTCAGCATGCCGGAATCTATCGGACAGCCTGAAGGCCAACTCATCACCAATCCTTAGGCCACTTTTGACCGTTCCTTTGCCACGGGATTGCCGACTTTCTAGGTAAACATAAGTTCACCAAGGGAGAGAGTTGTCTTTTTTATTAATTGTGTAAAAATCAACCCGCAAATTATTATTATTATTATTATTATTATTATTATATACACACACACACACCCACATATATGTTACTGTGAATACAAACATACATATTATTGAATGATTTTTTCCTTTTGTAAATTTTTTTCTATTTTGATTTTTTTTTTCATATTTTTGGCTTGTAAAAGTATAAATAATTGTGTTTTTATATTTTTTTATATTAGATTATGTTATGTTACATGATGTCGTGTTGCATGATGTTGTGTTAGATTTACATGGAAGACAAACTTTTAATTATATTATGTTAGATTATGTTGTAGATAAGGTTTTAATTATATTATGTTGGATTATATTGTACATGACAAGCTTTTAATTATATTATAATATTCTATAATTATGTTGGATTCTTTAGAATGTTAGATTTAATAGAATTTTAGATTATGTTAGTTTGGGCTTGGGCTTGGGCGGGTAAGGTGGACAGAGGTGGGAGCGAGAGTGAAGGAGGGGGACGGAGCGAGGGCAAGGATTACAAATTTACTCACGAACAAGAATGAGAATAAAAATTATGTCCGATAACGAGGGTGGATCGAAAATGAACAAAACAATTTTAAGCTAGCATTAGAATAGAGACTACACTCTCCATCCCCGTTTCGAGGCAGTGCCATCCCTGGGCCATGGTCACCCCAATCCCATGCCGTGCCTTAGCTTCATCTGTGGTCCAATCACCCTTGACTTTATTTCATCTTTTTTTTTAATATTCTATCATGATTTTAATACTTATCCTTTTTTCATTATGGGAAGATCTGTGACATGCTGACCATATATACTGGCAGTTTTGCTAGCTATTGGACTATTCTTCACCATTATTGGTGATCCAATTCTGTCCTTCACTAAGAAAAGCAATTGTAGCCTGCCAATATAGGCAACCCACTTGCTGATACAACTTGGCTAATATTACAAATGGTCCCAATGTGAAATCTTCGAAATACTACTTAATTACATAAAAAACTTATTTAACTAAATATATTAAAATCAAAATTAACTTGAATACTAAGTTTACAAATTTGCATATATAATTGATATGTACTTTGGAGGTTAGATAGAGAAATGGAGAAAACGAAAAAAGAATAAATGAGAAATAAAATTTAGAGGGAAGAAAGATTAGTAACCCTAAGCTATACAATTTTTTTTTTTTTGGGAGGATGAAAGGGAAGGGGAGGGAGACTTGAATCCTTGACCTCAAGAAGGCAAAATCTTTACAAGACAAAGAGTTCCATTGGACCAAAGATTCATTGGTTATCTAAATTATACAAGAGTCATATATATTTTTACAAAATATTAATCTTTTTCCACAGCATCACAAGGACACAATTGGCATATCTCTATCAAAAGACAAATTTAATGGAATACAAATTGTTCAATTTGATTTGTTTAGAAAATAAGTCGAGCCCGAGACAAGCCGAACTCGATATAAACGAATTGAGTTTTACGAGGTTGAACTGAGCCTTATAAGTTAGTTTTTCTAAATGGACTAAAAAAATAATTCAAGTTCGACTCATTTAGAATACGAATTGAACTCTAATCGAGTTTTCTCCGAACTGAACCGAATAGCACAGCTCAATGACCAATCCTAACATAAAAAGCCGTGACCTACTTTCACAAGCCTCATCTGGGTAAAAGTGACAAATGGAATGTGTCCAAGAGCAACGGGTGAATTAGGGTGACCGGTCGAGGCTTTTTGACTTCTTCATCTGAATTTCTTTAGCGAATGGTTTCTTGTTGATTTATATTTTCATTATCAACGATATTGTGATCCATGTGGGTTCATATTCCACACGATACCTTATTTCTTATTGTCCAGTCAATGATTTTAGAAAGAGTATCATCACATAGAAGAAGACATTTATTTTCACAAAATATATATATATACACACACTCCATCACATGTCGGAACCGACAATAACTACTAATATGGTCTTATTTCTATTTCTATAAAGAGATGGAGATGGAGACTTGTAAAACTAGCATAAGACATAAAGATTTTAAAATGGTTTTCTTAAAATGGATCATTCACATCCAAATAACCAGTACAAAACAAACACAATTTACTATTCCTCAAACCTAATGTCTCTCACATATTGACCACTCTTTATCTAATCTTTTCTAGAATCGTTACATAAAAAATAATGAAAAGGATACGGTCAGGATATGACATGGGATTGGGATGAGTCTGGACTAGACAGTGGTGATGAAAATTTGAAAAAAGAAAATAAAAATCCAAGTGGTGTTGACAGTAAAGCATGAGTTTTAGGAGAAAATATTCATTACAATGGTGATTTTATGTAGCAAGGTGATGTGGTATCATCGACCAATAAAAATAAAACAAATAAATAGATCGATCCCACAAAAATCAATAACTAACATGTCATGTAAGGAAATGACTCCTCACTTTTCTGTCATGTAAGTTCAAGTGGAGTTCACCTTTCCTATTTAAGGTTTTATTATTGGTTAGTGATACCATAACATTAATGGTGACATGGTATCACTGTTGCATTCAATATTTACTCGAGTTTTAGGCCTCAAATTTTTGGGAGGCTTTATAATTTTAAGTACATTAATAGTCGACAAAAAAATTAATGGGATTTTAAGCCCTAAAAAAGCCTCAAAAAATTAAGTGCATTCAGAATTTTTATTGGGCCCATTATCAAATCCATAACATTAGAAACCTAAAAATCAAAAGTTACAAAAAAAAGTACTCAAAAATTAACTCATATTTATCTTTACCCATTTTCTCTCTCAGGTAAAAAAAAAATTGAAATAAAACTCTCTCTCCTGTAAAAAATAAAAATAAAAGTTCAACACAATAAATTTAAAATATATTAATTTTTTTAAAAAAATTAATACTATAAATAAAAGAAACTTCATTTAGAATTTTGGCTTTAAGCCTAAAAAAATTATACTAAATGTTAAAAAAACAACATTTAGTATTTTCGTTTGAAGTCATAAATTGCCTTAGGCTGCCCTGCAGGGAGCTGCAGATGGATTGTTTCAACCTCTTGGTCATCTCCCTTCATGTGCACATAGTCTTGAATATATATCAAATATTCCATTTGCACATACACACAAATATATGTATATAAATGTGTTCCTATCTATCACCTATTTTTGTCGGAGAAGGCCTTATATGTCATTTGATTTGAATAATCTACAATTATTAATTGAAAAAATAATAAAATATATATATATGTGTGTGCATGATGTATTTTTATTAAATATAATGTGATAATACAGACAAAAAAAATTATATTGCAATATTGAGTATGGTAATGGCCGGCTCATTTTTTTTATGTATATCAATGGACCCCATGTGTACCCACTTGTAAGTAAAGGTCCCACTTCCATCTCCCACAATATGCTTCACCATCAAATGAGCATCAACAGTTTCTTCAATCCCACATCGAGGAATTCACCAATTCATTTCATGTTTAAATAACATAATCAAATGTCCACGTGTCAACTTTGGGGGTGTGGGGCTGGGACTTGCATGTGCACCTTCAAACCCTAAACCTCTCTTTAACAGAGATAAAGTGGACGATGGGGGTTGTTTGTCCGGTGTTTCCCCTCCCCAAAAAAGAAACACCGATGCCCTAGCGTGTGCAAATTCTAAGGTTGATTGACAATATTACCCCTCGAGAGACTTGTAGGGAGTGTACTGCCGGCACTTGGACACGTGCCTCGCGGTCACTGGTCTGTCCTCGTCTCTCGGGCACCCCGTTTTGATAATGAATCTAATTGTCTACAAATCAGTGGGTAATTCTACTGGACTGAATAAAAAATTTCGATACTTTATCATTTTTTATGATTAAATTATATTTTTTAAATATAGTTTACAACTGTTAGAAAAAAATTTAGTTTTTATTATGATTAATTATGTCTTATTTTGAACAATATAAAAGATTGTAACTTGACAACAGGGTAAATTGGCAAAATTAACACCACCAGAGTGCATGATTTTTAAGACAAGGCCACAATGTTTTTCACAAAACATTGAGGGATGTTTCTGTAATTTACTCAACCAGTTTAACACATCCTTGAAAGATACAACCCAAAGAAAAGTACAGAAAGCAATTAAAAGTTTGGAGAATAACCTTTTGACCAGATCTGGTCGAGATACATATAAGCTAACCGTACACCCCGTTACCAAAAGAAAAAAACCCAAAACAACTTCACAAGAAAATTTTGGTTTCACAAAAATAAGAGTCAACATTTCTATATTACAACAAAATTTGTAGACATAAGAGTCGAGTGCCGTACAATTTCCAGGTGCCATCAGTTTTATAAAGATTTGAACTTAACCGAAGTTCACAATGATCAAAAAATCTCACTACTCTCTTGAACACAATGTTGTTTTGCAAGTTCCAACTCTGAATATCAGTCGATGGATCTAGATTTTAAAAAATTACTGGTGGCTTGCTACCTATACCAAGGTACTGCAAAGAACAAAAACCCGAAATTACGCAAGCCAAAGGTATGCAAGCTTACACTTGTTTGAAGCAATCATTTTGGTACGGAAGATGGACGTTGTTCCACAAACTTCCATGAAGGCCTCGCGGTTGTAGACAAAGGAACTCCAAATTGCAGAATTCCCTTAAGCCATTTAACCTTGTTTGCAAGTTCCTCCAAATCCAAAATTGCAGCTTCTAAAGTGTCGGAACACATTGAATTCGAAAGTACTCCCTCGGTGTCTCTGGATTTCTTAGACCCACTGGGACAATGCAGGTCCTCCCCAACATTCTGTCCTGTGACTTCAGCTGAAGCATCTCTGCCGTGTGAACTAGAAACACTATCTGAACAACTTGTCTTTCCAGCACCATTATCCCCCATGCCCGCCTCCATATTTGTTTCTGTTATAAGCATCGTCTCCTTGGGAACAGTGCTCAAAGGTTGTTCCAGAAGCTCCCCGGTTCTGGAGCGCTTTGATTTATCTGGTGCTGGTAATGAGTTATCTGACCTATGAGAAGAGATGGAAACATTAAACGAAGATCCAGCTGTGTCCTCGGAGTACTTCCTTCCTTCTTCCATGGCATGAATCTCTGGAAAGGCCCCAGCAGCTGGAATAATGCAAAAGTTGAGCAAATTACATCGGAATCTTGCAAAATAAAATGCACTGCAAGTGTACATTCATGTACGCTCTACTGCTACATGTAGCAGAGATAGATGTTTAGAAGCATTCATTCAAAAATGAAAGAAATATTCCTATAAAACAAGGGCCATTGCAAACCTTGGCCACCAAGGGCTGCAGAAGTGTAGTCTGGCATTGAACATACCTGGGTTCTTTGGCTGAATAAGCCGGGCACAGCAACGAATGTTTTCACCATCCTGTAATAAGACATAGCTCACATGAGAAATGACCGGACAGAATTAGCATGAAGCAATACAGAAGGAAATATAAAGAAGCATCTAGAAGTCAGCATACAGGAGAAAGACACAGAACAAGAGAAGACAGAAACAACAATGAAGTAAAGGAGCCGTCTGTTTAATTTATCACCAGCAATTAAATTCTTGGAATTAAAAAAAAAAAAAGGAGAGTTATCATTAGCGAATGTGAAAAGAGACTTAGTTATTTAACTGGAAATGATTCCCAGCTTGTACGACTCCATCTTAAAGAAAATATTCAGATCAAAGAAATAAAAAATTGACAAGTTATTTCCTCGGCATACTCTCTGGAATCCACGGGATTTTCCAAGGGAAAATGAGTAAAAACACACAGAAATATGCAGACAGAGGAGTATAGGAATTTACCATAGAAGAAGGCACAGTCCAACCAATATCCGGAGACCAATCTAAAGAAGGACGCAAGTCATTGCAAGAAACTTCATAAGATGCGCCTTCACCCAGAGGAGGATGGGGCAGTTCGATCTAGAAAAGAAAACACAAGACTATATAGATATAAACAGAAATCCAAATAAACAAGAAACAAGAAACATATCTGTAAATAAAATACAAATCAATAACATGTCTCTCATGAGCAAAGCAGATCTGGAAGATAGTTTAATCTCCAAAAAAGGGTGTTCCTACAAAATGTTTTTTTCAGAGAAAAAGACCCCAAATATTCAAAAATTTTGCCCAGTCATGGAACATTTCATGACCAAACCTGACAAATTTTGGTGTCCTAATCTCCCTTCTGGTTGAATTCAGCAAGCTTGGGATACAATGTGTCGTAAGTGTAAGAATATGTAAAAACATATTGTACAGTAGGGTGAGCTTATAAAAGAGAAAGGTGCAAAAGATTTGCAAGAAATCGGAGTAACAATGGGTAACTGTATAATGCCAGCCATACAGGCTCAAATTGTCAAGTAAAGACATTTTGGAATGGTTTACAATTCAATTGAGTCAGATTACCCAATCTTCTTTCTTTCTTTTATGATAGTAAACGAGAGTATATTATGCATGGTGAAAATAAAGGAGTACATGAGAGGACAAGGAATCCTCAATAATTAAATAAAGCGAGCAAAAGAAAAGAAAACCCAAACTAGCTGAAAAAAAAGTAAAAATACAAGGTAAAGAAATAAGATACAATTCAATTCGGAGAATCAGCGATCTTCTTTCTTTCTTTTTTGACAGTAACCGAGAGTATATGATGAATAGTCCTCTATAGTCACATAAACCAAGCAAAAGAAAAGAAAGCCCACACTAACTAAAAACAATAAAGAAACAAGGTAAAGAAATGAGGTATTCAAGTGGCACCACAGTTCACAGTTCACAGTTCACAGTTCACACACTTGAGCCCAATGATCTTTTACTGAAAATAACGAAGTCCCTTCAAATCCTTTGGATGTAGACAACCAAAGAGATGTCATGAAAGAGATTTTATCCCATATGTCTTCCCAAGGAGCCTCCTTGTCCTCAAATTGGTCAATTTCTTTGATTACACAATCTTCTTTTCCTTTCTTCCTTCCTTTATTTTACTTTGGTGTATTTGTTAGTTTGTTTCATATGTGTTGTACAGATTGCAGAATTTTCCATTTAATGTTGAGGTAAAACAATTTTGTTTTTTGCTGGTAAGAAAGAAATATTACTAGACATAGAGCAATAATCCATATATATGGCATTCCAAAAACAATAGAACTCAAGTAAAGCCTAACACAAGGAATCATAATACAAGAAAAGGTAAGGATGAGACCCCTTTTAATAGACCCTCTCACAGATTGCATTGAACACACGGGAAAGAAACCACAACTCTCCACAAGAAGCAATCTTCCAAACACCAAACAAGCAAAACCTTCCAAGCAACAAAAATAAAACATCACTCCAAACAGGGGAGCACAGAAGCTCAATCAAACCTACTTTATAAAGAAGGATAGTGATTATCAGTAAGCTGCCGCTCACTTCAAAGCCATTCGTATGTCCGAGTTTTATTCAGTCTCCTTGATGCAAGGAGTCTATTTCCAACGCTCAATTACAAATTCACTCCTCACAATAACAAGATCCTTGTGTTCATTTTTACAAGTATGAGCATTTCTCTCCCTCCCAGGATGAAAGAACTAAGCGCACTTCCCAACAATAACCATAAAAATCCTCAAACCCAACTTAGGCCGCCTAATCTGTAATATTAGGGAGAGGATTTCCGTCTCATCTGACAACAATTTTTCAACTATTTGTTGATGTCGAGTGCTGAACATGCAACATAGTCCTAATTATTTGCATAAGAACCACTAAACACATGCACTGGTGATGCCAAAGAAACGTTTATATTTATTTTATACCAGTACCATTCATGAATAACTGCAGCAGTATAGTTCGTGAATAATCCTTTAAGAACTCAACACGCTAGAAGAAGTACACGTCAACAAGTGGCTCATACTTATGGCAGTGTATTGAGATGATTATCATGGTATGTTTAAATTATATGTGTTAACACCTCGTCATGATGATTTTTAAGACGAGATGACTCACGAGAAGCTCCTAGTAAACAAATATTTGGTTTAAACGAATGGAACAGGTGAAAAAAATACTACCTGAATCCTGCCGTTTGCCAATATTTGAGTAATTGTTCCAGACCAATAACAACCATCAGTCCACCAATCTACCAAATCCCCCACCTTCCACACACCATCAACAATGACTGCCACTTCTGAGATTTCCCTGACATGAGGCATCTGGCTTTTATGGTAGACAGGTGGGTAGCACGGCCGCACCATCAACCATCGTTTTATCCCTTTAGACTTCTTACCATAAAGTGGGGGCACCTGGTATAGTCTTGTCAACTTTACTTCTGTAAACACCAAAAACAAACCGGAAAAAATTGGCTTTCTGTGTGTTAAAAAAAACTGTCCAATGACTTCTTTTAAGTTTGCAAATAAATATAACTCTTACCGGAAAAAAAAAAAAAAAGTTTGCACTTCAAGTTTTGCAGAATTTATTTTCTCTTTTCGTGTTTCAAGCATTTTCCACCATCTCACATTATGGAAAGAAAAAGCAGCCAGATATGGGAGAGGAATCAGGGTCCCCCACTATAGTCCACTATGTTATGCTGACTTCTAACTAATAGGATGATTTCATAAATATGAAAAAGCACACGTTCTATTTAAATCCATCAACAGTTTGATCACAATTACCACAAAAGTCATGAAGGATAGCAGTACAAATGCATAGCAGAGGATAAATAAAGTGGATAAGGAATCAGAGATAGCTTGGGTTGCTGCAGGGCCTTGTCAATTGTCATTACCATTAAAACCACAATATGTACAATGTGGGAGGCCATGATACAATTTCAGTTGCCCTCTTATGACTCATCACTTGCTACTTCTATGGTTGGGGCCTTGTTATATCTCTGCAGTTTTACCTTTTTGTGACAGCACATTAACTAGCACTGAAAAAGACGGAAAATTAAGAAAACATAAACTATAAAACTTCTGATCTGCTGCAAGTATCATGGAATGACAATTTTGGGAAGCAAAAAAGGGTCCTTAACCCCTGCCAGGTATTGTTCTTCAAGGAAGATACCAGGGTGTGGAGGAAGGAAGAAAGGGAGATATATGGGCATTTTGATGAGGGAAACACAATTTTTCAGCAGGAGGCGAATATAGAACTGGATGCTACAGGTTAAATGAGTTGCTAGGTAAACATAAAAGAAGTTGGAGAGAAGAACATAGGACCACCAAATTGGAGGAAAACAAGATTCCATTGAAGATTGGTATAGATGAGAAGAATGAAGTACATATCAAAACAGCAGAACAGTGAATTCTTGTTAGAAAGAGAAAGGGAATCAAATGTGAAAATTGAATCAACCAAGGATCATAGAGTGGGCAAATGGCTGGATGCAGATGCAAAGATGAATCAATGGGGAATGTTCCAGATAGTTACAAAAGTTGGCAAAGGATTTATTTAACTATTTTCTAAAATTCCAAATTTTTTTGGGTAAATCTAAAATTCCAATTTTACAAGTGTAAATGCTGTATCAAGTTCTCCAAACAGTGATGATCATGGTTGCAGAAGCAACTTCCCTCCAACCACAACCAATGTCAACACAGAGGCAATATGGTAACTCAGCTGCCCAGGCTACCAAACACATGATATGGGGGAACAAATTAGAAAGGAATTCACAGGCAGATAGTCCAAAGAAAACACACTAGCATTTGCCAATCCACTTTTCGGAAGTCATGAATACGTCTACATATTATTGGAAATTAGAAGTTCTCACAAACTGGTTCAAGTTTGTGCTTGGTATGTACAGCATATCTGATCACTTATTTTGACTTTTATGCCTTGTTTGCATGCTGAACATGTCCTTGGATTCTCTAATATAGATTCCATTAACCCCCAGTGAATAGACAAAAAAAGTCTGAATACTACGCTCTTTGCTTGGTGCTCATGAAACCTAGGCAGTAACCAGTCACGAAAGAAGCCAACAAAAGTTAGCTCCATAAAAATCTTGTTCTCCATACCACAAGCTGATAGCTAGCATGCTATCTCTTGCCACATTCAAAGAGCAAGGTGTTCAAGTCTTGGAATGGAGAGAACATTAGTGAGTGATTACAACTTAACAGACAAAATTATACCAAGAGTAATTACAATAATAACTAACTTAACCTCTCTTTAAGATACGAATAGGGGGAGGGACCCAAATACCACTTCATGAAAAGGCATAAGAAGCATGGGCTCAAGAAAGACGACCTACTACACCACAGGGCTACAGCTGAACTTTCTTGATGGACTATCAACAAAAAAGGTAATCTGTAGAAAAGCAGCCTTACAAAATCTAAAACTTTTTCCTATGCCTGATAAGTCACACATCGCGGCATTCAATCATTTCCCCTTAAGTTGACACTAAAGAAAATTAGCTTTCTCCATTTGGTGAAAACTATTGGGGAAAACAGCTACAACACACTAGTAAGAGAGGGTTCTTGCCTTCCTCGCAAAGTTTAATCAGAATTGTCTAAGCACATTGCTACAGTGTTTTTACACAAATGGTTTGGCCCAATCAGTTTGAGAATTCAATGCATATTGGACGACACTAAACTCTATTTGGAAGCTTGTTGGTAGACAAGCTCAAGAAGCATGAAGGTCAACCTTGACATCAAGGTGGAATAAGCATCCTTTCTAAAAGGTGAATTTTGGATCAATTGAACTAGTGTTCATGCACTGAAATCAGAGGACATTATGTCTCATATCTTGATCCTCTTTCCGTCTAATAATTTTAGGTGGTCTTGAAGCAGAGCTGCCCTCGTCAGTGATTTGGTGAGATAAGTGTTGCATTATCCTCCACAAGCTCTTGATGTTTTGTCTCAATGGATTAGTTATGAACATATTTATGGCCAGAAAATCATAGCACTGAAGAACTCCAGTAATTCTTAAGCAACAACCTGGGCACTTGAAAAATAAATTAAAAAAAGTACAGTGTCTACTTACTTTCATCTGGAAAATCAAAATATTCCAAGGCATGCACAATGCGCCCCCTTATCCTGGTAATCTCTTTTATCTGAATGATAACAAAGAAGGGGTGTAAGTGCAAGGAAATTTTCCCTTATTAAACGTTTAGCTTCCATAAAAATTCAACAGTGAAAATTGATCCTCAATATCAATTTTACTGAATTGCTTTGTCATACAACGCTAAGAGTGAAAACCTTAACTCAAAACTTTTGACTCATTCTCAATGCCTACCTCTCGGTAACAAAAAGTGAAAGAAACTTGTGGACAAATTTGTCTCTCATACGCTTTTTCCTTTTTCCATTTAAATACCAAAAAATGGATTTTGATAATCTTTTTTTTTTTTAAATTGGAAAAATGGTTCGAGGGGGCAACTGGGATGGAAGCCCTTCCTAAGTGCGACTATAGCAGTCCGAATTCACGAGGGAAGTTCACCACGGAGTAAAAAATGGAGTCTCATTTTCTATGTATAATAGTTAAATGATCTATTTTGCCATCCTGCTCTATTAAGGGGGATTATACTTTCCGTTAAACCATAACTTATTGTATCTTTCTTTACTATTTTTTTTGAAGTTAATTTTGATTTTCCTATACTTGTTCGATTACCGTTAATAGTTACCACATTATTCTTTCGCACCAGGCCGTCTATAGATATGTCCAAATCACTTAAGTCAATTCTCTATTAATATTTTTTTATATATGCTGCTTCTACTTTTTTGCTAATATTCTTAATTCTAATTCTATACTTCCCCAGTTTTATCACATATTTATCTTAGCATTCTTATTTTTGCCGCACTCAATTTTTGAACGTACTATTTCTTAGTTGGTCAATGTTGAGTACCATAAAGTATAGCAGGTCTTATAATTATTCTATATGACTTTGCTTTTAAATTAATGAGTATGCACCTATTACACATGATGCATTCCTCGATTTAATTCATCCTTCTTTAAATTTATGAGTAATATTGTCACAAGTCTCACACCCATAAAGATAACTAACCCCAATTATTGAAAGTATTTAATACTTCGGGGTTTGGTTCCTCATTTTACTAAAATTATATTCCATATATTTATTTTTAGTCCTACTTTTCTTAATTTTTTTTATTCTGAAACCGGTCACAAGATTTCTAGTAATACTATATAATCCGCAAATAACATATACCATGAGAACTCATCCTGAATGTGTCTAGTTAATTCATCCACAATCAAGACAAAAATATAGAAACTCAAAACAGAACCAGATGCAAGCCTACTGTGATCAGGAATTCATTAGCCTCTCCTATCGTAGTTCTTTTTACTGAAGTCGTCAAATTTTCGTTCATATTTTTAATCACATCAATATACGTAATAGTAACTTTTTTAATCTCTAGAACCCTCAATAATAAAATCTAGGGATTCAATCATATGTCTTCTCTACCTCTATAAAAACCATATGAAGATCTTTATTTCTCTTCCTATACCTTTCCACTAGCCTTCAAAGTAAGTATGTGATTTCGTTTATTGATCTCTCACGCATAAATCTAAACTGATTCTTAGATACCGTTGTTTCAAACTCAAATTTTTACCCAATTACTGTCTCCCAAAGTTTCATTTAATGACATATCTCAATAGTTGGCGCAACTTTGTACACCATATTTGTATATATACAAGACAAAATACTCTTCCTCCACTTATCGGGCAGTTTTTAGTCATTATGATTTTATTGAGTAATTTAGTTAACCAAGAAACCCTCACATCCACTAAACATATCTATATCATCAATTCCTAAAGATTTTCTTATCTTCATTTTCTATAATGCCTCCTTTACCTTAGACTTCTTAATTCCACGATAAAAAATGTTAGAGTTCCTAAACGATTTATTGGTGTTTAAATAGCATAATTACCAAAAAATATGTCCGGGGTAAACTATTGTAAAAAGATGGGCTTAATTAAAAAGTCAGAGGCCCTAATTTAGTTGTGTTCCTAGTCTTAAAAACCTAAAGTACACAAAACATACATAAACCGCCTATTTAAATTAATCTTGAAATTAAATATAACCAAAATTCACTGCAGATAAAATGATGAGAATATTAATATAAATCTGTACCTTGCACCGGAACCATGCACTACGATAGCCTGACAGAAAAGACCTCGCCTCGGCCAGCTGACCAACTTTAAAAGGTAGCACTTCATGCTTGTCCATGATGGTTCATCAAACACTAAACAGCTGCATCATTTATATGCCCACTTCCAAAATCAACTTTGCCGAAAAAAAAAAATACATATATGCGTATCTAGATGTTACGGCCCAACAATCAAATGCAAAAAGTAAGTAGAGAAGTGTTACCCCCTTAGCCATTGACAGCATTTGACATCGGGTAGCCTCGCCCATAGGCACCCATGCCTTAACCAAAATGGCAGAAGTCCCATGCATGATTGAGGGAGGCAGTCCATGCACATGAGCATGTGGGCACAAGTCAGCATGTAAGCAAGGAAACGGGTAACTTGAATTGTAGGGCGATGCTAACTTGAATAATGCATCATGGGCTAGGCCATGGTTAGGTACGAATGTAATGCAATTCGAATGCTGAAGGCTCCTGACACATGCACAACATGTGAGGAAGTTGGGCATGTGCTCTGCAGATGGTGACAGTTATAGACAGTTTTTTGGCAAGTGCATTGCATGTGGGATCTCTGTCAGATTCAGACAAGCATACAAACACCAGTTATAACTTCCTTGTCATCCAATCACAGTAGACCTCTAGTAGCATTTGAATTACAGACATGTGCCTAGGCAATTGGACTTGTAACTGCGACCCTGAATATTATAAATAGGGTGCTTGGGGTCTGTAGTGCAACAAGAGAGTTGGCACGTTTTTGCAAACAGACTCCAAGGTTGAGTTCCTTATACTTTATTGAGAAAGAAAGGTTTGACTGTTGCCTGTAAATTCTGTGTGTCTTGCCTGTGTGTTTACTTACTGTCCATTCTCTGTTTTATGTGCATTTTGTGTGCATTCTAAGTGATTGGCTGAGACTAAGTGTTGAATCTTAGTGCTATCACGAGACAGAAATTTGGTAAGAAATTTAATCCCGTGACAATTGGTATCAGAGCTTCATTTTGCGACCATGGCTGGTGGAAACGCTACTGAATTGCGAGAACATGTTGTTCGTCTCAAAGATTTTCTAGGCGCCCCTCAGACAGATGGTGCAACCAGCGTAGCTATGCAGATGGAACAGCACGCTATTCAGATTGCGGGATTACAGATGGCTTTTGATAGTTATGTATCTGACACCGATGCAAAGATTGTAACAATGATGGAGGATATCATATCTCTCACAGACGCTGTCAAAACAAATTGAAGGATCTTGAAGATGAAGTGTCCATGGTGAAGAGGGCCATGAATTCTCATCCTACTGTGGGCGAGACATCTTCAAAGATTAAAGTCCCTGAACCAAAGACCTTCGGAGGCACCCGAAACGCTAAGATCTGGAGAATTTCCTCTGGGACATGGAGCAGTACTTTAAGGCAGTCCATGTGCCTGATAGAGAAAAAGTAACAATCACCAATATGTATTTATCTGGTGATGTCAAATTGTGGTGGAGGACTTGGAATGTGGACGATGCCTCTGCTAGTCGTCCAAAGATCGAGACGTGGGAGACCCTGAAAAAGGAATTGAAGGATCAATTCCTCCCTGGCAATACAACTTGGATTGCTAGGGACTCACTTAAAAAGTTGAAGCACACCGGAACAGATCATGATTACGTGAAGGAGTTTAGTTTATTAATGTTGGACATCAAGAACATGTCAGAGGAAGACAAACTCTTCAACTTTATGTCCAGACTACAAGGTTGGGCACAGGCTGAACTGCGAAGGCAGGGGGTACGTGATCTGCCCACTTCCATTTCTACAGCAAATGGCCTTGTTGACTTCAAAATGGGTAGCATCCAAGGCCCTCCTAAGAAAAAGAAGGATGGTGGCGGCAAAAAAGATAAGGCTGCACTTCCAAAGACGCAAAGAAAACGGATTGGAAGAAAAAGAAGAACGTTGCTGACTTTAACAAGCCAGACAACAGCCAGAAGAAGAAAACTTTTGATTCTGGTTGTTTTCTCTGCGGCGGCCCCCATCGTGTCAAAGATTGCCCCAAAAGGGAGAAGTTAAGTGCCCTTGTTGCTGCAAGTGAGAATGACAGTGATGATGACTGTCCTACCCGAGTCAACCCTCTCCAGTTGCTGAACGCAATTACCGTGGACAAAGTTCAACAACCCCGCAAAGGCCTCATGTTTGTTCAGGCCTGGGTGAATGACAAGAAAGTTCAGGCAATGGTGGATACTGGAGCCACCCATAACTTTGTTGCCTAGAGAGAGGTGGAAAAGTTTGGCCTGAAATTGTCAGAAAATTCAAGCAAACTCAAGGTAGTAAATTTTGAAACAATGTCAGTATGTTGTACAGCAAAAATACGCCTAAAGGTGGGTCTGTGAGAAGGCCAAATGAGTTTGATGGTTGTGCCCTTGGACGACTTTGATGTCATCCTAGGGAATGAATTCTTTGTTACAGCGAAATGGCACTAATGCCACATCTGAACGTAATACTGATCACGGATGAGAAAGCACCCTGTTTTGTGCCTGCAGTCATGGCAGACCAAAGCAAGAAAGATAAAGCGAAAGGTGGAAATGTTGTCCACTATGCAAGTAAATGCGAGGTTGAAGAAAGGCGAGATGACATACCTCGCAGCCTTGGTGGAGATCAAACCAGATGTGCTGGTTGAAGTACCTGATACTGTGACAGATGTACTGATCGAATTTGCTGATGTTATGCCCCCTGAACTCCCCAAGAATCTTCCATCCAGACGTGCAATTAACCACAAGATAGAATTGGAGCCTAGTGCAAAGCCTCCAGCCCGTGCCCTTTACCGGATGTCGCCAATGGAACTAACAGAATTGAGGAAACAATTGAACAAATTGCTAAATTCTGATAGTATGAAGCCATCCAAGGTGCCATACAGAGCTCCTGTTTTGTTCCAGAAGAAGCAAGATGGATCGTTGCGCATGTGCATCAATTATCGTGCCTTGAACAAGGTGACTATCAAAAACAAGTACCCTGTTCCGAATGTTACTGATCTGTTCGACCAACTGTCCAAGGCCACTTTCTACACAAAGCTGGATCTTAAGACTAGGTATTGGCAGGTTAGAATTGAAGAAGGAGATGAGTCAAAGACTGCATGTGTGACGCGTTATGGTTCTTTTGAATTTCTTGTAATGCCGTTTGGGCTCACTAATGCCCCGACAACTTTGTGTAATCTAATGAATGATATTTTTTATGATTACATAGATGTCTTTGTAATTGTTTACTTAGATGACATTGTAATCTATAGTGAAACGTTGGAGGATCACATAGATCATTTGAGGATTGTGTTCTCACGGCTTAGGGAACACCAGCTGTATGTCAAAAAGGAAAAATGTGAGTTATGTCGCCAAGAAGTGATGTTCTTGGGACATTACATTAGCCAGGGCAAAATTAGGATGGATGAGAAGAAGGTGAAGGCAATTATTGATTGGCCTGCACCAACCAAGGTGTCTGAACTGAGGTCGTTTCTTGGCCTAGCCAATTACTACCGCAAGTTCATTGAAGGATATTCAAAGAAATGCAATGTCCTGACTGACTTGCTGAAGAAAGACCAAAAGTGGGATTGGAATGATACATGTCAGACAGCTTTTGAGAAGCTGAAGTATGTAGTATCCTCTGCACCTGTACTGAGATTGGTGGACTTTGATCTGCCTTTCAAAGTGTACACTGATGCCTTTGACCGTGCCATTGGAGGAGTCCTTGTTCAGGAGGGACACCCTATTGCCTTTGAAAGCCAAAAACTGAAAGATGCTGAGCAACGATATTCAGTACATAAGAAGGAAATGATTGTTGTGGTGCATTGCCTTAAAATCTGGAGGCACTAATTGCTGGGAACGAAATTCAATGTTGTGACAGATAATGTGGCAAACACTTATTTCAAGACCCAGAAGCAGTTGACCCCGAAGCAAGTCCGATGGCAGGAATTTCTTGCTGAGTTTGATTTTGTATGGGTACACAGACCCGGGAGGCAAAATCAAGTTGCTGATGCGTTGAGTAGGAAGGAGGTCCAAGAATATGTTGTTGCACTGTCCAGTGTGCAGACTGACTTCCTGGCAAGAGTCAAAGAACGTGTCCAGACTGATGTTGTTTGCGGAAAATTGAAGCAGCAAGTTGGCGAAGGTTTGGTGCGTAGATACTGGATTGATGATGATTTGCTTTATGCTAAAAGGGGCAGACTCTATGTTCCTACGGGAGGCAAACTACGACTGGAGTTATTGCATGAGACACACGACTATTAGTGGGCTGGACATCCAGGAGTAGAGAGGATGCTTGCATTGTTGGCTCTCTCCTATTACTGGCCCAAGATGGAAGACGATGTTGAAGTCTATATCAGAACCTGTCTAGTGTGCCAACTTGACAAGGTTGAGAAGAAGAAGGCAGCTGGCTTGCTACAGCCCCTGCCCATTCCTGACAAACCGTGGCAGTCAGCCTCGATGGATTTCATTTGCAATCTACCAAAGGTTGATGGCATGCGTTCGATCATGGTGGTGGTCAATCGTTTCTCTAAGTATGTCGTGTTCATTCTTGCACCTCATGCTTGCCCTGCAGAACTGTTCTACAAGAACGTGGTGAAGTACTTTGGATTACCTGAAGATATAGTCAATGATCGTGATACCAGGTTCACTGGCAGATTCTGGACGATGTTGTTCAATCTCATAAGTTCTGAGTTGAAGTTCTCTACCGCAAGTCATCCCCAAACTGATGGACAGACTGAGCGAATTAATGCCTTGTTGGAGGACTACCTGTGGCACTATGTCACTGCAAGTCAAAAAAATTGGGTGGAGCTTATGAACACTGCCCAGTTTTGCTACAATTTGCATATATCTTCATCAACAAGAATGAGTCCCTGTGAATTGGCTATGGGACATCAGCCACTTACTCCCCATGAAGTGGTAAAACAGAGGACCGGAGGAAAATGTCTGCTGCATATCGGTTTGCCCGTTCCAAGCAGGAGTTGCTTGACGAGGCAAAGGACAACTTGGCCAAAACTTCCCCTGGAATGAAGAAGTATGTTGATCACGGCCGCAGACCACTGGAATTTCAAGTTAGTGATCTAGTTTTGCTGAAATTGACTCCTG